ATTGGTTATTTATTTGTTTTAAACAGCAGACTTAATATTTATCCATCTCTCGTCATGATTTGGAGACAATGAGCATATGAACCGTTTTGCCGTGCTGCTTATATTTATCACGCAGTAAAAATGCCCAAAACCAGTCGTCTGTGGATGAGAGTCTGAAACGAGGACTGGTGGGACGTTGTCCTGCTCCACTTCACAGACGCTGAGTGAAATGAGAATTTTAGAATGATAGTACACTCATTTAGATGACACTTTATTCAACAGGAAGAACACTTGATAAATATAAGCAGCACGGCAAAATGGTTCAAAACGGTCATCGTCTCCAAATCATGACCAGAGACGGATAAATATTAAGTCTGCTGTTTAAAACAAATAAAGAACCAATAGAGGAGAATAGTAGCCAACAGGATTTTCCCATTTGGCTTTTGGATTATTACAGAAAATAGGCTCTATGACAGACAAAAGTGTCTGTCATAATCTTCAGACACTCAACTTATGAATTCTGAAGTCTAAATACAATCGGCAGTTGTACAGCACAGATAAAGGACTTCAACGTCACCACCAAGCTGGTGAAAACTCTCAATCTTTTATTTAAAATCAGACAGTTTGATGACGTTTAATGTCCCAAGAGACTCTGTAGTCCCATTTAGTCACTTTTGGGGTATTACTGATGTATTATATGTTGTAGAAATAAAACTGTGAAAATGAACTGACTTAGCTTGTCAACCGTAAACATTATTTCAGGCATTTAACCAAAACCCCATTTAAAAAAATTAAATTACTAACAATGGAACGAAAAATAACTTTTTCCGGGTTTTATGATTCAGTCCTGTCCATCATTGCTCGCAAGGCAGGAAAATAAAGCCTAGGTTTTAAGCATTAGGTTTAGTGATAAGTTTAAGTTTTAGTTCGAGCTGCACGATTGATTGTTAAAAGATCGCAATTTCATTCCTAAATGACAACGATTTAGCCATATCTATTAAACCTTTGATAAAATCACACCGAAACATTCAAATCTGTGTTGGCGCTGCCGCTGAGCCAGAAAAAGCAGTTAGGCTGTCTAGATATGAAACCGCTCCAACAGTCTTTTTAACCATACAGTATCGCTATTTCCATGTTACAAATATTCAAAAGATCAGAGAAGTACGGATAAAAGTTTATAGTTCCGATATAAACACTGATGTCTACAGAAGCAATCAAAATAGAGCAAATCACCTTTTGAAAGTATTGTATCGATTACATTGTTACACCACTGGGTGGTGACAAGTGACTTAAATTTTTTGTGATTGAATCATTCAAGAGATTAGTTCAGAATAGCTGTGTTAGTTCAGAAAAACGAGTGAAGTCTTTATGAGTGAGTCATTTGAATCATTCATTCAAACAGATTTTTGAAATAATTCATTCAAATTAATTTAAAAAAATTCAATAGACAGCAGCAATTACGGTAACATTTTGTCAGAACCTCTAGTAAATCACATGTTATTTTGTTTAGTTTTATATTCAGAATCATGGGAGAACAAAAAAATATTGTGATTCTAGATTTATCCAGAATTATGCAGCTCTAGCTTCAGGATTCCGTTCTGTTTAAATAAAACACTGTATCGGAGCCAACATAAACTGTGCCATTGTCATGAAGAAAATACAAATATTATTAATAGGGAAAAACGTGAGGTTTACCTGGTGTCCCACTGGTCTTATGAGGTGAAGTCTTTATTTCTGTATTGACCTTGCTGGGTACAAATGTAGTCCCCCCTAACCTAAAATCACATAAGTGTTTTGATGAATATTTTGAGAAATGTATTAGTGCTCACAAGTGCTTTGACTCGCATCACTCACCCTGGTGATTTCCTGTTTGGTTGACGGGAAGGAACCCGGGAGGAGGGGAGGTCACTACTGTAAAGTTGCCGCTGGTTAGGGTAAAAACTAGATTTGGATGCGGTGCCTCGAGCGGGATGAGTCATGTGGCCCGGTTGCCGCAGAGACAAGCGAGGTTTGGCTGCAAAAGACCAAAACCGTTAAACCACATCAATAAACAAGCACATACCTTGAAGGGCTAAATGACGGACTGCAGGATGCGAAACAGTTTGTGGCATTAGTGTGCAATGGTGACCAACTGGCACAGATATAGTCAGCACACATACAGACAAGGTTGGTGGGCAAAGACACAGCATTAAACCCTTTAAATAAGCTCTCTCTTGGGACGTGGGCACACAAACTAGATTTTCAATGTCATTTACTTGATTTATGTGGTTAGCATTCCTTTTTAAGGTGATGTGTATTAAAACACTTTTGCTATTTAACAACTAAAGAAAACCATTTGACGTTGTAACACACAGAAAATAATAAAATCCATTTAAGGTTTTGCACCTGACACAATTTAAGCTTACATTTATTGTAAGATATACGCCGTTCAATTATGAATAGCAAAATAATACAAACGTTATATTTACATTTATTCATTTAGCAGATGCTTTTCTCCAAAGCAACTTAGAAATGAGGACTTCAACAAGTGATTCATCTTAAGGAGACAATAACATGAGAAGTGCATGCAATACAAAGTTCAGCTCAAACATCGCCTAGAATAGTACAAGCTAGAAAAAGGAGTGATTAGGAAATCATTATGAAATTCAAAACTTGATTGAAATTAACCACAAAAATTACATCACATTAGCCAAACAGCATCTCTCACTGGGGCCTTTCGTTTTTCTGTGCATGTGTGTTACCGTTATATGAAAACAAAGAGGAAGACTTTGCTCTCATTTGGAAGTTCAGTAATTTAGAGCAGCCAGACTTCTTCACGTTCTTCTGCCGGGCAACCAGCTGTGCGATGTGTGCCGTCTCCTCACACACACCAGCAAAACACATGACCTACAAACATAAACATAAAGTTTGTCACATTATAGTTTGGTTCTGGCATGATGGTACATAGATTAATCAGTAACTGAAAATTTTCTTTATCGTAAGCGTTTACATTTTTTGGCATTTCTCTCAAAACCACACAAATTCCCAGTTGGAGGAGGGTAAGGAAAAATGTAATTGCTGATTCACAAAATCTGAAATTGGTTTACCATGGCCCTACTTATACATTTATATAAATCCTCACTGATGCTTTTGTTTTCACATACCTTGAAGTCCATGCACAGCATTTGTGAACAAAATACAAGTGATCTATTATTAACAGATCAAGTGAATGCATCACCTCTCCAGCACTGGATCGCTCAAGCCGCACCACACCGGGAATGCTGCGCAGAAAGCTCTCGAGATTGCAATGGCCAAACTGCCGGAAAGGAATCATCTCTCCTGTCAGAGCCCGGTAATCTCCTGGAAGACGGACCATGGCCACACCATGCTTACTGCTCTGAAGAACAGCTCGCAGCATCTTTTTCACCAACTCCACATCACTCATCCTGCACTCAAACACAAAGACAATCAATTGAAGACACTATGACTGCAGACAGCATTTTTGTAACCTAATGAGTTGCCAATCTAAGAATTTTGGGCATCACAGGCGCATTCAGAGTCATACGAGTTATACAAAAATACTGTCTAGGTAGGCATCTTTCTGTGAGACTAATATGCTTTGAAGGTTTATAGTTAGTTATGTCTGTGGTAATTAAGGAATGCTTTGAATCTACATAACAATAGAGCGACCCATCAAAATCAAGCTGTATAACAGAACAATGGCAAACTTTTAAATAACAAGTTCAGGTTAAATTAATTAACCCCAAGAAACCCTGTTTGAAATTAAAAATAAAAAAAGTCTTGAAAATTATTGCAAAAACAAAACAACGATTAAGTGTTGTACACTCATTAATTTTATTTTATTTTTGTTTAAAAAGGTAACGTTATACATGTTTTTTTTCCCACATACAAAAATACGTTACATATATTAACTTACACTACATAAACGTATCACGTTTAAACAGTTTAAAAGATTTCTCATATTATTGTATTGTGAACTTAAACTTATAAACTTATTTGTCATCGATCCCTTAGACTCACTGAAATCATTTCCATGTCAAAAGTTAATAGTTTGTGCTTGTTTGAATGTCGTATATTAATGTTACAAACATAACATCCCCTAAAAATTCTTGGTAGTAAGTAACTTATCAGCCAAGATAACCTTACACTTACGTAAAACATTAGCATTAAAAAACTCAAATATCAGAAAGACAGGCGGGAAGAGAGGAGGCTAACTTTCATCAGACCGTAACGTTAACGTTAATTGACTAGCTAACGTAAGCATGCGATGCAACTGATTTAACTTTATTATTCCGTTTCTTTAAACTTGTAAAGAAACTTCTTATTCCCAAATCATAAAAACATCACCAAAACATTATTAAGGGAAGAACTGTTAATTAAACTCACCTGATTGCCTTTTCTCTTCACACTAAATTAGCCGTTGAATACCGCGAGCACACGACGCACGACACGTGTATTTGGTATCACTCCGGAATACGTCATACGTCATCTGAAAACGGCCTGAAGTCAAATTTTAGAAAGCCAAAAATAATAATAAAATAAAATAATTCAGCTGAATCCAAGTACGTTATTTACCAATTTTATGATTTACTCAACAAATAAATAAATATATGAATAAATCCCAACATCCCTGACTAGAAGGGCCAGCCAGGCCCAGGCATCCTTTTAGGCCTAGGCTAGAGTAGCCTAGTATATTCTTCTGCAGCATTTAATGTAGCATTTAAACACCTATTAAAATGGGTAACCTTGCTCTGTAAAGGTGCTGAAGGCAAAAAGCTATAAATAAAACTCAGGGTGATGACAGTCATGTGCTCACACACCAGCGTCTGACTAACTGAATTTAAAAACTATTCAGTAGGAATCAGTGGAGAAAAAGCTTAAGCTTCAAAAAATATTATTCAAATAAGTTAATTCTTATTATAGTAAAAAAAAATATTCAAAACTTACCAGAAAGTACTAGTATTTTATTTAATTTATAGGCTTTTTTGTGACTTACACCATTAAATTAATTCATCAAAACAAATATTTCATATTTTTATTACAAAAATACTGACCAATACCACTGAACAAATCAAACATTAAAATTTGTTACAGAAGCTCATGAAAAGCATTAACCCTGTACATACAACCGAATCCAGGATTTTCTCAGTCCAGTTCGCTGATAAAATTGAGTTTGTTTAATGGCTTTGATGAGTGAAGTTACAAATTAACGGGAACATTCTCATTCTAGAGAACATTTTATTGGTCAAAAAAATTTGACATGCAGATGATTCATCAATCATTTTGGTTCTTTGTATCAAAAAGGAAGACAGAAGTCTCTTTTGTCAGTAGTGCAACAGCATACAGTGGATGACCTCAAAGTTTCAGACACAATCTTCAGTTTTGAATCATGCTGTCTGTCTTCACACAGATAGACACCCTTACACTGCTCTGCTTTCCAGGAACCAGTTTCAAGAGCTAAAGTTCTTTCAGATGTCTAACTGTCTTGGTTCTGTTTCGGGAGTTTTGTTGTTGACCAGTTCATTTGCTTGTTGAGCCTGTGATGTGATGGTTCGGGCCAAGAGAAGTGGGTCTTGGTTGTCGTTCTGTGTCAGTGTTTTTCTCTTTCTCATCAGGATGAGTGCAGGGTTCCTCAGCAGTGTGTAAAGCAGCAGCCAGCGCACGCGTACTCTGCCCCCTCCTGAACATCCTGTTAAACAGCAGACAGGCAAAGTTATTTTATTGGATTTAAAGAAATGTGTGCTTTGGTTTCAGATATCTGTTATTATTACCTGTGTTATTGCTAAAAGTTGCATAAGAGGGCACTGCAGGTCCCCGTTTCTCCACTATTCTCCCAAGCAGTAGATGGCAGAAAGACACCATAACTGGGTTGCTGTGGTAATGATCAGCAAATATCATCCCTATCCATGTGCTATATCCTGGCGCAAAAAAAGTCAATTGTAACCATTGTGCAGACAAACTGGAATTAATCTTACATTTTAGAGCCTGTAAAGGGAAATATTCCATCACCCAATTATAATTAATTGAAGACAAAAAAAAGTTTTAATAATGAAATAATTAACATCATAATTATCATGTTCCTATTATCGACTTTAAAGGGTTAGTTTACCCAAAAATGACCATTCTGTCATTAAATACTCATTAAATACATTAAATACAAACCCGTAAGACTTTCGTTCATCTTCAGAACACAACTGAAGATCTTTATGATGAAATCTGAGATTTCTGTCCCTCCATTGACAGCTAAGCAAATACCACTTTGATGCTTCAAAAAGTTCATAAAGGGATCGTAAAACTAATCAATATGATTTGAGCGGTTTAGTCCAAATTTTCTGTCCAAAGACTTGATCGCTTTATATGATGAACAGATTTAATTTAGGCTTTTATTCACTGATCAGCAAACATAAACTGTAGCTTAACTGAACCTGCTTGACATGCAAGAACAAACCTCATGGGTTCTTGCTGAAGCTCAAACACGCTGCCTAACACGAGAATGAACTTCATTGGTTCTTGCACGTCAAGCGAACATCCTTGAGCTTTCGTTTACCATAACTGATGTGTGAGTTGATGAATGTTTATATGTGAATAAAAGCCTAAATTAAATATGTTCATCATATAAAGCGGTCGAGTCTCTTCAGAAATGTTTTGACATTTGACATTGACATTTGACACAAACCGCTCAATTCACATGGATTTGTTTTATGATCTCTTTATAAACTTTTGGAAGTGTCAAAGTGGTAGTTGCGTAGTAGTTGTCAATGGGGGGACAGAAATCTCTCAGATTTCATCAAAAAGATCTTCATTTGTGTTCCGAAGATGAACGGAAATCTTACGGGTTTGAAATGACATGAGGGTCGACATGAGTAATTAATGACCGAATTTTCATTTTTGGGTGAACTATCCCTTTAAGACTAAAATGATATTTGGAAATTTACATTTTCACTGCACAGCCCTGCATTGCCATTTTTACCTGGATCCATGGACTCATAGCCGCGCTGCATGATGGTCCGATCAATGCGCGACACCAGCCATGTACCCACAATGCAGCTGCTTAAAAGGCGCAAAATACAGTTGCTCAACCCCATAATTACATTATAGAAGAAGAAAAAGTAGTTAAAGCAGTGGAACGCTTTTCTGTGGAAGAACAAAAGAGAGATGAGTTATTTCAGAAATATCTTTTAAAAAACACTTTTATGTTTCATATTTATAATTATATTTTTCACTCAGGGCACCTTAGGCAACCACATTGAATCATGACTGTTTAAGGTCATATATTTATAGCCTCTTCTATTTGTTTTTAATTTTATGAAAATTGCTTTTTAATGGTCCTACCTGTTGTTGATTGCAAGAGGCTTTTCTTTGTCTTCAGGTGAGAGTTTGTCCTGCAGGAAAAACACTTGGACCAGAATAATCTGCCCTACCACCAAGGCTATAACTATGGATATTGTGAGCCTGAAATTACATAAAAACACAATTTAATGCTACTTAAACAGCATCTTTAATAAAAATGTTAGGGCGTTGGCTATAAAACACACTACTGTTCAAAAGTTTGCGGTCAGTAAGACTTTTCTTAATACTTTCTGTATGCACTAAATTGATCAAAACTGACAGTAAAGTAAATTTATAATGATACTTTTCTAACTATTTCAAATACTGTTGTTTTGAATTTTCGTTCCACAAACATAAGAAGCAGCACAACTGTTTTCAACATTTATGATAATGAGAAATGTTTCTTGAGCACCAAATTAGCATATTACTAGATTGTAGGATCTGAAGGATCATGACACTAAAGACTGAAGTAATGATGCTGAAAATACAACTTTGCCATCACAGGAATATATATATATTTTTTTTAAATATATTAAAATAGAAAAGTTATTTTACTAAAAACACTTACTGACCCCATACTTTTGAAAAGTAGTTTATAATGTTGTCATGCAAATTAAAAAAATGGCCTAATGATTATGCTTATAAAAATAATGTGGACTTGAAATGTCAGAACTCACAGAATGACGCCAACACTAGAAAGCCAGCTGAGAAATTGCCCCTTCTGGATTGGTAGAACAACTCCATACACAAACATTAAGGCAAAAAGAAACTGCACAAAGTGAACTATCAGAAACCCTGCAGAAACAAAAATAATTTTAAGCTATGCAGCAAACCATGTCTTCAAATTATTCCATATATTTGAGTCACACTGACTAAAAACAGGAAAATAGCAAAGTATGCCAAGGGACAGATGCCCGTGAAGCTAATGACCTCTCTGAACAGAAGGTAACATTTATAAGCTGATCTCACCACATTTTCTGAGGACAGGATATGAGGTCACAAGGAGATCAATAATACTGAATAACACAGTCCAAATTTTAAAGAGTTTTACATACCCCACAGAGTGAAGGCAATCTGCCAGCCTGAATATCTTGTTATAGCAGCCTGAGAGAGAAAAGCATTCGGTATTATGATGAGCCACCTAAATGCCACTGAGTTTGTCTTTTTAATGATGTTGTTAACCTCAATCTTAGAGGAGACCCTATGAATCCCTTTACAAATCTTTACTTACCACGCTGACTGCAGGACTTGGTTTATGGAACTTCTCAGGAAGAAAAGTTTTTTGCCCCCTCCACAACCTCTTTAAATGTTTCCTGCAGTCATAAATGCAGCTCATTGTTTGGTAAAGTTTTTTTTAATTACTGAAATTAAGTATGTAAGTAAATAAAGTAAGCATACCTGTAACATACTAGCACATGAAATGTGTAAGTAACAGACGTCAGAGTGGAAAAAATGGTTGTCGCCAGCCACGACCCTAATACAAAAATATTAAACATTAAATCACTTTTCAGCATCTATCTATCTATCTATCTATCTATCTATCTATCTATCTATCTATCTATCTATCTATCTATCTATCTATCTATCTATCTATCTATCTATCTATCTATCTATCTATCTATCTATCTATCTATCTATCTATCTGTCTATCTGTCTGTCTATCTGTCTGTCTGTCTGTCTGTCTGTCTGTCTATATCACTAATGTTGATGTTCTTAAAAGATGTCTCTTATGCTCACCAAGGCTGCATTTTTAAAAATAAATAATACAGTGAATACAGTAAAATCAGTAATATTGTAGAACATTATTACAATTTAAAATAAATGTTTTCTATTTTACTCTTGTAATTTTCAGAAGACATTATACACCAGTCTTTAGTGTCCCATGATCCTTATGCTGGTCCTATACTGGTTTGGTGCTCAAGAAACATTTCTTCTTAATATTAATGTTGAAAACAGTTGCTGCTTAAAGCTGCTGTCCGTAACTTTTTTAAGTTAAAAATAATCCAAAATAATTATATTAAAAAAAACATATTGTGCCAGTGGTCAAAACTATCTGCTTGCCATAGCTAGATTCAAAACGGTTAGCTTGTAATAATGATTTTAATTCCAGTGGTACTGGTGGGTTTCCGCGGGAAATTCGAGCATGTCTTTGCGTCATTACGTCACACCCGTACACATAAAGAAGGAGTTTCGGCTAGCCGGCTATACTGCGCGTGACGAGATGTTTAGATGTATAGGCTTTTCTCGCAGCACTTTACATAATTAAACTTATGGCATCCAGAAAGATCCAAACAACAATCATCAGTGTCAACTGGAGATTCAGCAGTTATAAAACCCAAAAGACTTCGTACTTCGGAAAGAGAAAGAGGCTAGAGAAAGAGAAAGAAACCGTCTCATGCGAACACAAGGATTTAAACATCGGCGGGGCTTTTGAAAAGTGCGTGAACTCCGTGTTTTGAAGGGGTTCAAAACGGAAGAAGAGACGGCTTTTTTCTGCTGAACAAGTAAGTTAAGACATTTCAATAGTTCAATCGTGTAACAGTACGTTTTCTTAATTCACACAGTTATGGAGTTTCCTTTGTTGTGCCTTTCTCGTTTTGCTATTATGGAGAATATGAATTCTGAACTACACAGGTAACCATAAAACACATTAAATTTAACATTAGTCACGCAATGCTGATGTTGTTAACATGAACAATTTGAGAACAAAGTATATAGGCTATAATTTGCACGGTTGCTTGTAAATCGCGCTGATTAAATCTAACGAAGCTTGTCATGTCGAATGATTTTTCCCCCTTAGTTGGTCAGAACAAAAATGGATTTTACTTACTTGTTCAGAAGACATTTTCTTATGAAAATTCTTATGTTGGTCAAACTTTCAAAAAGTGAATCTGTGATTCTGTATGACAGCATCCACACAGCGCGGTGACTGACAGCAGCACTCGCCTCAAAGCACTGTGTTCATCCGCGCTGTTTCATGCCGATTTACAACCCACGTAAAGATGATAATTCCGCGAATCACTGCAGTTACAGATTTCGAACAGAGAGATGGCGACAAAGAGGAAAAGCTACGGACTGCAGCTTTAATATTTTTGTGGAAATTGTGATATTTTTTCTTCAATAAATAGAAAGTTCAAACGAACAGCATTTATTTGAAATAAAAATCTCTTGTAACAAGTCTTTACTGTCACTTTTACTGTCACATCAATTTAATGCATCTTTTCTGAATAAAAAACAAGAAATTCTTCTTTTTTTTAAAAATCTTATTGACTCCAAATGTTTGAATAGTATTGTCATATGTACAGAGACTATAAATATAAACAAAAAGACAAGAGAAAAAGAAAAAATCTTACTTCGTGCAACAATGCCGAACTCATTCATTCTGGGAATGAGGGATGTGAAAATGTTGTCTGTATGATTACAGGATGATGCTATCTCTGCAAGTGAGTCCTTCAAAGCATCTAGTTTGTCAAAGGTGTAGTCACTCAAGCCGTAGTCCGCTAGGGTCATCTGCATATAGGCAAACACATTTGCATTGTCTTAAGTTACTAATCAAAAAACAATAATGCATGTCCACAAGTGAGTGCCAACTGACCATGTACAAACCAATCAAAGAGATAATGCATGTGCCAATCATTCTGTTAGGGAATTTAAAGTGAGGATCCCAGTCATACATTTTTCTTCTGAACCAACTCTTTTCTTCCGGCCTGAGGGAAAATAGAAGAATGAGTATCGGCTGATTGGTTTGAATACAGTACAGTGATAAATGAGTGCTTACTGTTCAGAGGGGCGTTTCAGTAGAGTCTGTACATATCTGAACTGATGGAATTGTAGATCCTCCTCATTCTATATATCAGAGAAACATTTATTTATTAAATATTGTTAATTGATAAATACACTATTGTTTAATCTTATTTTATATCCGTTTATTATAGGCTACATACTAATGTTCATTTATATAACTTAACTCTTTCCCCGCCAGCGTTAAAAAAAAAAGTTGCCAGCCACCGCCAGCATTTTTGATCATTTTCACAAGTATTTGTATGAATATCTGAACATGCAATTTATCAAAAGAAACCCCTCAGCTTTAAAAAAAAAAAAAAAAAATGCATTCTTTTTTTTATCAAAACTTGAATTAGGGTAAGTTTAATTAAAAAAGCAACATTTTGAGCAAAACGCATTTTTGTCAAAGACTAGCTTTTTTTTTCTTAGTGTGAAGAACATTTTAATAATCTAAAGAACCTTTTTCCACTTAAAAGAACCTTTTGTGCAATGGAAAGGTTCCATGAATGTTAAAGGTTCTTCATGAAACCATATGCCAATAAAGAACCTATTATCAATAAATGCTGTAAAAGTAGGCTACTGTTTAATTTGAACTACTTTATTATCTAATGCCAACGGATTTAACCTTATTGTAAATTATTAACATAAAATGAATTCCAACAAGACTGTCTCATGATCTGACCTCATCAGCTTGTAGCTGCAGGTGGATTCTTACTGCCTTCACAATGATATACACAAACCGTCCCAGCAGGAAAAGCAGGCACAGAAAGAACGGCCACAGAATGATCCATTTCTCGTAAGGACCTAAAACCTGCAACCAGAACAATGTGCTCTAATTATCCACTATCACAACTACACATTATGCTATATCAATTATATTCATCCAAAGACACCATTGCAAGCTTTGTATACTGAGGGATAATAATCTTAACATGCAAACATAAACGTAATAATATAAAGTTAATAATTAATAAATGAAAGTTAATTATTAATAATATTTACTAACCCTTCCAGAGGGACAGCTTATCGTGTCATACAGTCTCACAATGAGCCTGAAACCCACATTATAGTCAACAGTCAGTTCAACAACACTATACAAAATCCTACAGCTACAACTACAAACAGAGGAGTATTGAGCTAGGCCAAGATTTCAGATTAAAGATTTTATCTACAGTATGTGTGTGTGAGTAGTTTTTTGTATGTACCACATGAGTGTGTATAGAAGACCTAAAGCCCCTCCTAGTGCTCGGTGTGGCGTTGACAGACAAGCAAAGAATGGCAGGTACGCCACACCAACTTCTATCGCTCCTACCAGGTACAAAACAGCTGCAAGAAAGGCACATACTGTATATATCAACTGTAACTTTCCTTTGATTAACATTACATCATTTTGTTACATTATAAATGTTTTTACTGTCACTTTTGATCAATTTCATGCATCCATTTCTTTCTAAACTTTGAACGGTAGTGTATAACAAATAAAAATATTTGCATTGTTATAAATAAACTACCTTTAGCCCAGTTAGGCACATTAAATGGTGTGTAGGACTCAGAGAAAAGCTGAATCACACTGGGAGCAATAGCACCAAATGCAAAACCATAAGACCATCGGTTACTTAGATTGCCGATGAAATCCAATGGACTGCAGAGGAAAATACACACACACACACACACACAAATAAAAGGTCTTTAGACAACTAAAAACACAGATGAATATTAAATGCAGAACTTCATATTTTGTTTCAAGATCACTCACACCACAATGCCAAATCGACCCCTGAGATACGGAAAGCGATTCTCAAAGGGCTGCGCCTTCGCTCTGCGCTGTACAAATGAAAGCAGAAACACAATGCAGACCTGAAACACAAAGAAAATGAACCCCATTACAAATACACTCGGAGAGAAGTCTAATGATCCAACGATTCTAATAAAGAAGGGAACTTGCAGTGGCTCCAAACAGTATTTAGGCAGCAGTTCACACAAACTGATTAAGTTACTGCAAAATGATATTCATGTAATCATGACTGTAGCATCAGTGTATCATGTAGCAAAAGTGTTGAATTTTATATCCTGAGGGAAGAGAGTTCTGTCTGGACAAATGAAGGTATTACTTACAGCAGGAACAAGAGAGCAATGCAGGAACAAATCTAAGGAAATTCCATTCTGACGTTCCTCCCTAAGAGAAAGAATGGAGAGAGAGTGAATAATGAGAAAGAATGAGCAAGGGTTTAGAGCATTCATGCTGTATGAATGAATAAAATGGAAGCTGAATGAAAACAGCTTCAATGATTCAATTCTGTAACATTTTGATCAAAACATAAACTGACCCACTTACTTTAATAAAAGTAGGCATTATTTTTAGGGTAATTATTAATATTATTTTATTGTTATTATATAAGATGTTGTGTCCTAAAAAAAGTATATATCTGAACATCGACAGATAAGATTTATCACACACCAGTGACCTAAAAATACTTTCCCCTTATCAACAGAAAAATGATTTTTGCTACATCATTTTGCAAGATTTGACCTAATTCTAGGACCTTTACACTTTGCCTTTGTTTAAAATACACAATTTTTCTATTTTATTTTGAAACAATTTTAATGATTGATCAAATTTTACATCAATTTGAACCATTTCTACAGCTAGTCTCACAGAACAAAACATGCTTTTAATATGTCTGTTAATTACTTTTTTAAAGAGATAGTTACTAATATGTTTTTCTGAGATCGATGATTAAATATTGGTTTAGGTAAAGGACATTTAATACAAATTAAACAATCACTAAAATTCAAATTCAAATTTAAAACTTTTAGTAAAGTTTAAACTCTTAGCATGAACAGTGGTCTACTCATATACCAAAAAAAAAAAAAAAAACTCATATTACCTAAACATTATAAGGCAGAATGTCTTTGCAAGTAGGCCTACTGTAAGTGTCGACTATTCTTTTCCTGTCATTCTGAATAGTGTTTCAAAAGCAGAAGTAACTCACATGATTTCTGCGATGACTCCCGTTCTGCTGGTGAAGTAGGCCTACTACACGAGCGATCTATTGCTCTGTTGCTTATAGACAAAGACTAGTTAGAGTAGCTCTCCGTCATAACAGACTATAGTTCCAATAAACTATTACATGAAGTACAGCTTTCACTTCATGAATGAGGATATAGATATCACATGACTGGACAAACTTCGACCTAGGCCACACATGTACTAGTGTAACTCTCACAGAGAGATAGATGTGCCAGTGCGTTTTATTGACTGTACTGTTACTGTGTAATAGTAGTTCAAACATAGATAAGACTTGCTGTTGAACTAGAGCAGATAGAGCTCACTCCTTCTCTGTTTGTGTGTTATTATTAGCATTGCCCAGTGGCGGCATTAACATTAAATGGCATTGCATCTTACGTACAGAAGCCATTGGCACATGCCGCTTGTGCTTAGTGATGATAGCCTAGGCTACGTCCGGTGAGCGGTGATGACATATATTTTCATTGACCTGAGCCAGAGAATGTCTAATAGACGGGCTCTGCCTGAGCTAACATGAACTAACAATGAACAGTATTTTTTATTAACCAACGTTAACAAAGCCTAATAAACTGTAACAACCACATTGCTCATTGTCATGCATTAACTGATGTTACCTAATGTGCTTATTCTAATGTGTTACCAATCTTTAAATTATTTTAAAAGTAAATTGGTGTATACAGAGAGTGTTCTCTAATTTATGTCATGACAAATTATTTGAGAAATCATGCACAGAATTATAAATCAGAATTAAATAAGTTAATAGGCTATTGTCACATCATTCATAAAACAAAAAAAATAAACAAACAAACAATAATCTACAATGCATTAGAATTAAGAACTTGGCATTTACGATGGTATTGAAACTAGATGCAGATGAAAGGCAGATAACATTATAGCGGGATATGCTGCTGATCACGGAAATCAACACACGGGGGCGCTGCTGGCGAGATGAGAATTTGAAATAGACTATTATATACCATTCATATATGCTATTTAATGTATGGAATATCTGTATCGTCAAAATATCTTTGCATTTTTGAAGTTTCTGAAAGAAGCCCTTTTTACAGTAGTTTTATTATTTGTCTGTTTGATTAACATATTTTCATACAGTGACCTCAAAAGGTCAAGATAAAGTGACACTTTAACTCAAAACCCTTAGCCTAAAAGTGTATGAGAGTTATTGCATTACATAACAAAATATCAAACGTGACAACAGCACACTTTGTCACAAAACATTTAGAGAGAGAAAAAAGCAGTTTGGTCAGAGTGTACTTTTGACACTTTCAGCTTGTCAAACGTTAGTGAAACATTTATATGAAATAAACTACACCTGTGGTACTGTAGCACACACTCAAAAAAATGATATGTTGGCTTTACTTAACTTTTTTATGTAAACAGGTTCCACTGGTTCCACATAACTATGTTTCGTTAAACAAACATAATATGTTCATGTAACTTCAACATCATGGAATTTGGTCATTTTAAGCGACCCAATTAAACTCTGAGCTAATGAGTTAATTAAGTGAATAACTGAGTGATGATTGAGCATTATTGAAGACACCTGATGTTAACAAGCAGAATCTCTGAAGGAGAAAACCGGAATGTTTAAGTCACCATTATGGAGATAAGTATTTGTTTTAGTTGGGCTCTTGACCATTAACTTATTAACTTTAGATTTTGTTTGGTTGCTGTACATGAGTTATAACAGCCGGATGAACAATAAACAAAGGTCATCTGATGGTGTTGGTTGTGTTTTAACATAATCATTATTTCACAATCATTTGACCTGAGTCACTGAACTTATATTAAACCAAATTTCTGAGTTAAGTTTACCTTACGAATAATAGCAGCACTGTCATTGTAGAGCATACTATTTTTAGACTTTTCAGTGAATTTTAAATGATCAAATCAATAAATAAAAGAAACTTCCTAAAAAATATTTTGAGTAAGCACACACAGACATCAAGAATTAGCCTGTGAATCTCAACAATGGTGACAATTATAAAGCATGTTGCAGTGCATTCTGGGTGCCACCAATCAAAACTCATTCATGGCTCCCATCATGCATTGCTGCATGAATAAATGATGAGCTTATGATCTGTTTGTCACCATTGCTGAGATTCATATGCTGATTCTTGATGTCTGTGTGTGCCTACTCAGGATATTTTTTTTAGAAGTTTATTTTTTATTTCTTGATTTGATAATTTGAATTTCATTGAAAAGGCTAAAAATAGTATGCTCTACAAAGACAGTAAGGTAAACTTAACTTAGAAATTGGGTTCAATATAAGTTCAGTGATTGAGGTCAAATGATTGTGTTAAATACCAACCAACACCATCAGATTTCATTGTTCATCTGGCTGTTATAACTCATGTACAGCAACCAAACAAAATCTAAAGTTAATAAGTTAATGGTCAAGAGCCCAACTAAAACAAATACTTATCTCCATAATGGTGACTTAAACATTCCGGTTTTCTCCTTCAGAGATTCTGCTTGTTAACATCAGGTGTCTTCAATAATGCTCAATCATCACTCAGTTATTCACTTAATTAACTCATTAGCTCAGTTTAATTGGGTCGCTTAAAATGACCAAATTCCATGATGTTGAAGTTACATGAACATATTATGTTTGTTTAACGAAACAAAGTTATGTGGAACCGGTGGAACCTGTTTACATAAAAAAGTTAAGTAAAGCCAACATATCATTTTTTTGAGTGCACCTGTGGGTACTTGGCCGGCGCTACCTACAGGAGGAGCAGGCAATTGCCTAGGGACAGTGGCTTTGAGGCAGGGCCTCCATAACATTAACCTCCTAATCGATAACCCACCAATCAAGACGGGCAGGAAAATACTAGGTTTCGTTTTATTTTTTATGTAGAATATATTTGATACATTCACTATGAATGTGTGTGGGTGTGTAGCTCGTAGTATGCACTAGTAACGCCCACCGCTGTTGGATCTGCGCTTTCCCAGACAGCTCTACCAATGCCTGAAACACAACGATTAACAGTGGTCAGACGCGATCAATATCATAAAAAGTTTCATGAAAAGGATTATGCTGATCATCCGATGAACGACTTGTAACTTAGTTGTATTCTTCGCCGTCTCCCATTATTTAGTGAGAATGCCGGAGTCTGTGCTGCTGAATGTGGGTTTCTTGGGTAAATCATCCGTCGTGCTCGTGTGTCTCTGCGGGGTTCACATCATCGTTGCACTGTTTTTATATTTAACACAGTCACCTACGAAATTTACGAATTACCGGCAAATGCCATCAGACTCTACTTTAGTTAATGTTACTTCACAAACTCACAGAATTGTCATCCGATATGACAATGGAACAGTAGAAACAGACGTAAATAAACTGATCTATACTATAGCAAGTGTAATTAAAGATGACGTTGAAGAACCCACAATACTAGAATCGTGTCCTGAGACGTCACCACTTTTGGGTAAGTTTTCGTGAACTTAAAATGATTTACTAGGCTACTATTTGTTCATGTTGCACAGTTTGTTTGTTTGACAGGGACTAGTTGTCACACATTTTACACCAATGAATATTTTTCAGAATAGGATTATTTAGTATGGTATGTGTTTAAAAAAACAGAAAACAAATTTGTGTAATTGGGTTTTTGAGTCAAAATGTTTATTTTTGATTTATTATAGGCCATACATAGCTACATCATTGAAGAAATTTGCTACTTCTTTCAGGTGGTTTTAGTGGTAGGGATATTTTTATTCTAGAAAGATTCTGATTTAATGAAAGTATGTGTAGGGCAGGATGAGTCATCAATATTTTGGTGGCTTTTTCCAGAAGAGAAAGATTGTACAGTTTAAATGTGAATGCCTGTTAAAAGATTTTTTTAGATGAACACTTATCATTCAGAGGACTCTAACAGACATGTACTAAATATAACAAAAGTAATATATATATATATATATATATATATATATATATATATATATATATAGGTCTTTTCCTGTGTTGTTAGGTGGCAACTATATGTATTATTTCAAAGCTATATAATTTTTAAAGAGATAGTTACTAATATGTTTTTCTGTGATCAGTTTAGATCAGTGGTTCTCAACCTGCTCCTGCTGGGACCCCCAACAGGACAACAGCACACCTGATTCAATTAGCCAGCTACACATTAAGCCTTTGAGCCTAACTTAAAAATGATTGAACTTAAAATGATTGAACTTAAAAGTCTTATCAGTAAAAGAGATAGCTGGAAAAAAATATTGTGAGTGACAAAGAGAAAAAGAGATGGGGAAAGAAAGCTGGCCTGATTGAAACAGGAAGTAAACTGTTGTTGCTTAAAAGGGGTCTTCCTCTTTCATGTGTGCAAACCCATTGACCCCCACTTTCATGCACTCTCCCTCTTTCCGTTCCCATTTCAGTGGGTCCAATGCGAGTTGAATTTTCGGAGAAAGTGGATTTGGATATGGTACGTAAAGAAAATCCACAGCTGGTGATGGGCGGCAGGTATAAACCCAGCGATTGTGTGGCTCTGCAAAAAGTGGCATTAATCATCCCATTCAGAAACAGAGATGAACACCTGAAGTACTGGCTCCACTACATTCACCCCATCCTACAGAGACAGCAGCTTGATTATGGGATTTATGTCATACAACAGGTACAGCACTTACAAACTATTTATTTACTACTCCATCTTACTCAGATGACAGCAGCTGGGTGGACAAGAAATCTGTGGTTTGCACACAAATCAATCAAATGAGCTAAAATCCACACCTAGTCGCACCACACAAACCTCCAATAGATTAATTCATTGTTAGATAGATAGATAGATGGGTAGATAGATAGACAGACATACTTTTGCAGGTTAGACTTTTCTTCAGGAGACGGTGACCTTGAAGTATGGAAATGCGGTGAAATGGCTTTGCATAGACAAGATGTTTGACATTTGACTGCTTTGAAATTTGCTATGCAATAACAACGAAAGGGAAAAAGAGAAACGTAACCTCTGAACACTAACATAAATAGAACATATAACACCTGTTTTTTTCTGTTTATTTGGGTGTAGATACTTTTATCTATTTATAAGTAAATTTTAAAGCTGAACTTTCGATCTTTGGTGCTGTATCGGGTCTGAAAGGCATCTCAGACTACTGCTATGTTAAAAATGGTCAATATGGGCTCTGAAAAACACTACTGTTTAAAATGTTGTGGTAAAATGTGCGCGAGTCATGACATTTAAGTAAACGTGCTTTATGCTGCATGTTTAGGAAGGACAGGACACATTCAACAGGGCGAAACTGCTCAACGTGGGTTACGCAGAGGCCCTAAAGGAGTATGATTATGACTGTTTCATCTTCAGTGATGTAGACATCATCCCTATGGACGACCGCAACACCTACAAGTGCTCCAGCCAGCCGCGTCACCTCTCTGTGTCCATGGACAAATTTGGTTTTAGGTAAGATGAAGCTTTACCTTAGAAGGATATGTAACATTTGTTAAGTGACACAAGCGTCTGAAAGTTTCAGTGGTGCCTTAAAAAAACAGTCCCTCAAAAATGTATTTACCTAAAAACAAATGAGCTTAAAGTCAAGAGCAGGTCCAAATTCAACGTTTACATAAATTAAATCACCTGTTATGTTAAAATATAGTTGGCTAATATAGTATTTTCATGAACGTTGTTCCTGGATCATTTGAATAAAGTATTTGATCACAATGCAGCTGTGTGAACTCAATATACCGAGCATGGCAATATAACCTGATCGGATGTGTTCTAAAGTAAACAGTCAACCCAAGACAATCCTTCATGGAAGGAAGCCGATAAAGAGCAGGGAACAACTGACACTGTTATATTATCTAATACTGCCATACAAGAGTCATGAACAATAGAAGTTGAAACAGGTGAACCAAGAACAAGAAAATAATAAATGAATCTTTGAATATAAAGACACACAAAGATGTTGCTATAACACTATGTTGATTTGGTTCTATGTATGTGATATACCACATTATTTATTATGTTTAGCTACCATACATTAAATTGATCAAAAGTTATTATAAGATTTATATTTCAAATAAATGCTGTCCTTTTAAACTTTCTAATCATCAAATAATCTTGAAAAGTAGCCTATGTATCATGGTTTCCACAAAAATGTTAAGCAGCACAACTGTTTTCAGCATTGGTAATAATAAGAAATGTTTCTTGGGCACCAAGTGATTTCTGAAGGATCATGTGACACTGAAGACTGAAGTAATGATGCTGAAAATTCAGCTTTGCCATCACAGGAATAAATTATTTTTCAAAATATATTAAAAAGAACACAGTTACAATATTACTATATTTTCTGCCATTTGATCACATAAAATCAATAAAAAATACATTTAAAAAATCTGCATTTCGACAATAATGATAAAATGCGTATATAAAGCATCAATTACACACCTAAAGTATATCTGTTTTCTCTTTACTGTCTTGCATTAGCACTAAAAAAGCTTCCATTTCCAAAAAATATTTTAAATCAAAATGGCTTTATTTTAAATTCCGTTCACACCACAAGCAATAACTACAGTATAAAGATAACTATAGTGAAAACTATAGTAGCAATCACACCAACGGCAATATCATTCTATTTTTTCTAAGCGAGCACTGCAGTTATGTCAACTGCCGCTTTAAATGCTCAAGCTCTTTAAAGTTAGGTGGATTCTGATTGGCTGTCAATGTTTTTATTGTTCATCCGCTAGAAAAAATCATTGTGAAAGGGAATCCAACAATAATGTTTCTCTGTGCCGTAATCGTTATAGGTGTGGTGTGGACTCTGGAACGATTTTTAAAACTTATTGTAACTTTTAACGTTATCCTTAGCGTTTTACGTTATCGTCCTTGGTGTGAACGGGCCTTAATTATGACATCCAAACTCATAAATAGGAAGTTATCATTTGCACAAACTTCATATGGTATCAGAATGTGGTTATTGATATTGATTATATTATTACATTTTTCATTCAACAATTGTTTTTGTTTGAATACAGGTTGCCATATAAACAGTATTTTGGGGGTGTATCAGCAATGAGTAAACAGCAGTTTCAAAAGATTAATGGCTTTCCTAATAACTACTGGGGCTGGGGAGGAGAAGACGATGACATCTTTAACAGGTGAGGAAAATATCGAACTGTTATTATTAATTACAGATTCTGTCCTATCATATACGAGATCATTTAGACAAACGTTTAGAGATCATTTAGTTTTTTTATAACCAATGATTGGCTTTCATTTCAATCATGACAACCCTCAAAATAGTTTTAGCCTGTTATTCAATATGGCAATGTTAATGTATTTGGACTTGGTGGACTAGATCTGCTGCAAAGTCAAGTCACCTTTATTTATATAGCGCTTTATACAATACAGATTGTTTCAAAGCAGCTTTACAGTGATAACAGGAAAATGATTCAATGATGCAACAGAGTTCGTTTCGTCTGTTCTTGGGAGAAACCAGGCTCAGTCGAGGGGCCAGTTCTCCTCTGGCCAACGAACGAACACTGTTTCAAAGTAAGTATGGACTTGCTACTGCTAATAGATACACAGACACGTAGCAGATCAAGGCAGGTGGAGCTGGGGGAGGTGGAGGGTTTCAGAGGAACTCTAATAACGTGCTGCAGGACAAGCCTATAGCAAACACAGAACCAGACTATTTTATGTTGAGCAAGCAATCCCAGAACCACAGATCAGGAGATGAAGAAAGAAGGGCTGACGTGGCAACATCTGGAGAGGAGGGCCCAAGACCGGAGAGTATGGAAGAGCTTCGTCGATGGCCTATGTTCCTATGGGAGTTTAAAGGCCTAACTAACTAACTAACTAAGCAATCCCATTGGCTGCAGGATCAGCAGAGGCCACTCACATTGTGCCATATGATAATGGCAGATTGCATGTAAAGGAGTCTGTGCCCTCTTGAGTTTTAATAAGGGCTATTCTCTTTGAAGGTTGACGTTTCAAGGAATGAAAATATCAAGACCGAGTGGAGACATCGGAAAATGCAGAATGATTCGTCACTCGAGAGACAAAAAAAATGAGGAAAACCCACAGAGGTAATCTCTTTCACACATACATTACGTACACTCTTAAAAATAAAGGTATTGGTAGGCACTGATGGTTTCTTGAGGAACCTTTAACATTCATGGAACTTTTCCAATGCACAAAAAGGTTCAAATATATATATTTTTAATTATTAATATGTTCCTCATACTAATAAAACATTTGTTCTTTTAAGAATTGTTCACTGAAAGGTTCTTTAGGGAACCCAAAATGATTCTTCTATGACATTGCTGTAGGCAACATTTATTTTTAAGAGTGTAGACATGCATGAATGCAAGACAGATTGAATGACTTTCTAAAGCCGTATCTCTGTATTATAGATTTAAGAAAATTGCTCACACAAAACAGACAATGAACACGGATGGCATCAAATCGCTCAAATACAAAGTGATAAATATAGAGAAAGACCAACTCTACACCAAAATCTCTGTGGACATCGGCAAACCATGAAAACCCTATAGAGCTCAGAAGAAACCTGTATCTCGCTGCAACTCTTCAGGGATCTTTAGACTGCACAGCTCTCTCCGAATCGGTTCAAACCTAGTGAAAAAAAAGTCATTTTTTAAGTTAAAAGCAAAAACAAAAAACATTCTTCTAAGTGAAAGATGATTTAAAGTTTGTAACATACCTGATGGGTGAAATTAGACTCACCCGTTTGCCTCATATGCATATAAATGTATATATTTATATTTAATATATGTCTGTCTTTAAATTAGTCTTCCATAAATCTTCCATGCAAAGCAGCAGGTGAAGTGTTTGCCTATAACACAAACCTGCACACTCCCTACAAAACCCCTTACAGAGCTTTTCGTATACTTAAGACATATTTTGGTAGTAAATATGTATTGATAGTTTGATCTTTCAAGTCTAACTTTCCATTTCCATGTTACTATGCTAAGTACTCATAGCCTGGTTAAAACCAGACCATTCTTTCTCAGTTGTAAGTAACTGAGTTATGGTCTGGCAAAGCGTCATAGACAAATCATTTCCAGAGGGGCGTCAACAACGGACGTCACGGATAGACCTAAAACCAATCAGAGCGATGAAGGAGATGACGTATGCAGAGTGACGGAGAAACATCTCCGAGTGTTGTTCTTTGCTCGGTTTTTAACTAAAAGGAAACGTTCAAATCGCTTAAAACAGACGCGATAGCTGATTCGAACGAGTGATGTTCGACGGCGGCATCCATCTTTGTAATGTAGGCTACAAAATCTGCTTCAAAATCCCAGCGCTGTCGTCATCGTGTAAAGCCCGCCCCAACGTTTCTGATTGGTGCCTCGATTTCGGCGGATTGGAAATGAGCTTGAATGAGCTCTTTGCCAGACTAACTTTCAGAGCAAATCTAAATTTGCCGGAAGTTGTCTGGGTTTTCCCAGGCTAAAGTACTCAAGCATTAAGTAATATTAATGAACAAAGTGAATTCAATACATTTGTTTTGTTTTGTTCTATTGTTTTACAATATCATATACATAACGGACACTCTTGTAAAGTGTTTTTTTCCAAATAGAACATCATTTTGATTGGTGGAGGTTGGGTGTTGTGTACGTCTTAGACAATGAGAAATATTTCACTATGGCCAGTGGGTCCTATTATTTGTTACTGATATGATTTGGGGGGAAAATAGCTATGAACTATGAAAGGGAACTGAAAAGGCAAGTGCTACCACTGCTGATGGGAAAATATAGGTACTTAGAGTAAGACTATGTACAAAGTTTTGAGGTCGGTAAGATTTTTTTATGTTTTTGAAAGAAGTCTCTTATGCTCACCAAGGATGCATTTGTTTGGTAAAAAATAGAGTAAAAAATAAATATTGTGAAATATTATTACAATTTAAAATAACTGTTTTCTATTTTAATATATTTGAACATTTTTATTTATTCAAAGGTGAATTTTCAGCATCATTGCTGCAGTCTTCAGTGTCACATGATCAGAAATTATTCTTATATGCTGATTTGGTGCTCAATAAACTTTTCTTATTATTATCAATGTTGAAAACATCTGTGCTGCTTAATGTTTTTGTTTTTGTTTAAAATTCAGGATACTTCGATGAATAGAAAGTTCAAAAGAACAGCATTTGAAATAGAAATATTTTAATATACCTGCCTACTGTCACTTTTAATGCGTCTTGCTGAATATAAGTTACACATTTACAAGGTTTTACAAAAGAAATCCTCCCTACCTTTCGGGTTGAGCCAGTTGATCCTTGCGCCCCTGAAACAATTGCATTTTTTTTACATATTTTTTTTAACATACTGCATTTCTCTGACAGAACTGTTCCTGTTTTTTTGTTGTTGTTTTTTTATCTCTTATGAAATTTTTACGTAATGCAGAGCAACACTGTAGTGATGTTAACTCCTATTTTACACACCCATAGTCTTAGGTTGTTACAGACTGTCACTGTAGTATAATCAACAAAGACTTCAAATAATTCATATCAAATAATTCATATCAATTGATTAACACTCATCAAAAATAGCTGTAGCTCAAAAAATAAACAAATCATAAACAATTTCAGAAATCTGAATATAAATAATAATGCCGCCCTCATTTCACATACATGAAGCAAAGCAACACGGTGTGGCATTTCATCTTTGTGTGGCTTTAAATTCATTACAGATGAATTTGATGGATAGAATGTTTTCAGTGGCTCACAAACAATGCAATCAAAAGAAAAGAAAACGACTACTTATTATTAATAGTGCCCACTCTTTGCAATCATTCAAATGTTTTTCTCAGAATGAAAATGTAAAATCTGCCCATATTGTCATGTTTACTGCTTGTATAAACGGTTGCAATGCTGTTTCTTGTCTTGTGCTGGTCTCTGTTAGCACCAGGGAATGCAGTCACTGAACTTTCGGCCAGAGTTTGGCATACATTTGAGGAGTAGTTTATAATGAGTAAATCGTATGAGTCACTGGATTGCACAATCCAGAAAGAGTCCAATCTAAAAATATAAACAGAACTGTTTACTAGTTCACTCTAGTTATAAAACTCCTCTACATAAAAGTGCAATATTGATGGAGCTTTTATTATGAATAAAAACGACAAAAAAAAAAAAAAAAAAAATCTCTTGTGACTATACCTTTAAAATAATGTGTATTTTAGCATTTATTTTAGTGCAATACACCTTAGTTTACACGATACAGTTTTCAATTAAAAACGGACAACTTTTTATGTGTTTTGGCCATTTACACGACAACGGCCTGAAAACGCAAACTTTTGAAAACAAGTTTCAAAGTTTTTGAAAATGATACCGTTATTGTCTCTGTAAACTACAATAATGCAAATTTGTGAAACTTGTGACATCATGCGTGTTATAGGTGCGTAGTGTTTCTTTACAAAGTGACATCGCCAACTACTGGCCTGGCAGCAGAATGCAGTGCTTTTAGTTGTTTTCGCAAATACATGTGAATGGGGATCGTTTTGACAACGTTGTCATCTGTATGCGAAAAACGCAAAGGAAAAAGTAAGATAAAATAAAAAAATGTCATTCACATGCGTATTATGTGTTCAGTCTGTAGACTTTATGTGCAAGAGAAACAAGCGCATCTTTAGAATTTCGTCTTTGAACTTCAGTTTTTGTGGTAGCTCATATATTTTTATGGCATCGCTGTTGAAAAAGAGTAGTTAGCTGGTGAAGTGGATTTACTTATTGTAGAGTTAATGAAAGTTATCATGGACATTGTAATGTTTGAACACACTGTATCACATTTACAAGGTACAGATGTCATAACAAATGTTGTTAGTAGACCGTGAAGATTTTAAAACGAGCGGTTTATTCATAAATCCGTAAGATCTCCCCTTCATGCTTTGGAAATACAAACTGGAAAACACACAAGGAGTGCACCGCTGAAAAGGGGCGGAGCTACATAAGGTCTATAGGCAGTGTTTCTTTAAAAAGTGACATCGCCAACTACTGGTTGGGCAGCAGAATACAGCGTTTTTAGTCGTCTTCATGGATCTTTGACAACGTTGTCGTCTGTACGCGAAAAAATGTTTTTAGTACATCGTTGTTGTGGAAACGTACCCTTAAGCTCCGTTCACACTACACGCGACCAAGCGACGCGATACCATTCATTTCAATGGGGAGCTGGCGATTTCCGGCGACACGCGCGACAGCGACCGGATGGGGCGTGTCTGGCGACGTGACAAAGTTGAGATTCGGGAGCGACAACCAATAGGAGCGGAGTGCGTATGATCCTTCTCCACACATTGGATGTCATTCATAAAGGCAACCTTTTAGCCCCGTTCACACTACACGCGACTTTGTCGCTGCAAGTCGCCAGTCGCTGGCGATGAGGTCGCTAGTGGGTGTTCCCACTACTGGTTGACTAGTATGACATCCAAAAGACAGCGAATCAGCTTTCTTGCCGCTAAAAAACACAATTTCTGGAGGGAAAATACTAAATATAAATATACTCCGTACAGAAAAACGTCTGTAGTGAAGCATGAAGATGAACGAGACACAGAAGTCGATTTTTCTCGTTGCGGCCGTTTATCTACGGCATAAGCGCAAACGCCGGTCTATCTGGGTTCACGAGACCATTCGGCCTCGGAGACAGCACGGCGAGTACCACCGGCTGGTGCAGGAACTGCGGCTGGATGAAGTCCGGTTCCAGCAGTACTTCAGGGGCTGAGGAGAAGGATCACGTGCGCTCCACTCCTATTGGTTGTCGCTCGTGAAAATCGCTCTTCATTTACATAAAGTTAAAAAATTCTCAACTTTGTCGCGTCGCCAGACACGCCCCATCTAGTCGCCAACGGTCGCTGTCGCCCGTGTCGCCGGAAGTCGCCCGCTCACCATTGAAATGAATGGTATCGCGTCGCTTGGTCGCGTGTAGTGTGAACGGGGCTTTAGTCTTCGATTGCCCATTGTTTTGTGGTAATCAGGGTTATTGTGGTTAACTAAAAATAAAACCATAAACATATTTGTATTACTTAAAACAAAATTATATATAAATATATATAAAAAACTTATTTTATTTCACCTAGTTGCCAAGGCAACATTTCTCATTTTTGTTTAGTTTATTTAGTAAATGACTAAAACTAAATTAACTAAAACTGTAGAAAATTTAAGAAAATAAAGAGAAAAATAGAGATATTTAAAAAAATAAAATAATTATGTGTAAATTAATGTAAAAACAATTTTTTTTAAATATTAAATCTAATTCAAAACAGTACCATAAAATATAATAGAATAGCAGTGATACTAAAAGAACTCTGGTGGTACTAGAGCATAAGGCCAGTTGTTGTGACATACAGGGTTGAAGAAGAAATGAAGAAATAAAGAAATACATATTTCAGATGCTTTATTTTGACCACGAATCTTCATGATCCTGTGTGCTCTGCAGGAGTTTAACAGTCTCCATCGCGTGTGATTAAAATTTCTGATTTGGTTCTCCTAAAAAAGGACACAAAATGTAATCATTTTATAAAAATATATATAATCTACTCTAATTGTTTGTGTGTATGTCTGTGTACGTGACCTACAGTCTTTCCACACACAGCAAGCACTCGTTTCCGTAGGTGTTTCCGTCACTGCCGCACACAGGTGCGAGGTTCATAGGACAAGCCAGGATCTCGGCCATCTCAGCGCACACAGGCTACAAAACACACACACATCCACATGTGGCAGACTAATTAAACCACTGCATTACAATAGTTTTAACCACTAAAAGATAAATGAACTTAAAAAAAAACCAATAGTTACACATTTACAAGGTACAAAAAAAAATCCTCCCTACCTTTCGGTTTGAGCCAGATCCTTGCGCCCCTGAAACAATTAAATTATTTTACACACTGCATTTCTCTGACAGAAGAGGTTAAACCTGTTCCTGTTTTTTTTTTATTTTTTTTTATCTCATGTCATTTTTATGGAATGCAGAGCAACATTGTTGTGACATTAACGCCTATTTTACAGCCTTAGGTTGTTACAAACTGTAGTATAATTAACAAAGACTTCAGATAATTAGAATCAATTGATTGACACTCATCATTAGTGTAGGCTTTATATGTTTAAGTACCTGAATATGTACCTGAAGGGATCAGCAGAAGCAAGCCGAACAGAAGCACTCCTATAGACATATTGACAAAGAATGAGCCCTATAGTACTCACATGACTTTATATGACGACAATGAAGTGTGGGAATTACAACACTTGAACACACACGCACACACCCACTTTAGAGATAAGACAGTTTAATGCAGGAACATCGGCTCTGCTCTGTAAATGGAATTTTAGAGAACTTCCTGTAAACAGCGTCATGTGGATTCATCTATGACCTCTTTTATTTGTGATGGTTAAAACTCTGTAAACTGTACAGTATGAACAGACAACTTTCATGAGAACATTGTCTAGGGAAGGACAGATTAAGTTTCAAATAAAGTAAAAAAAAAAATGTATTTGTTGTGTTGGTTTATTAGCCTACTTCTTGACATTTTTTAATTACAGTTTTTTCAAATTGCTTACACACTAAAAGTGGAACTTGAGGCTCACTCAGTGAAACTATTGACTCATGTACCGAATCTTCAGACCAAGTCTGCAAAACTACAAGCACATTACATGCTTTAAACTCAGTTTGAAACTGAAAAACAAACTTTTTGCAAACACAGTTCTCTACATTACACACATTTAAAACTAACAGCTCTTTAGTGTCATAGAAAACACTGTGTTTAAATGCCACATTCATTCACTGATGACCTACACCCAATCATCATGTGTGAAAACACTTATACATAAATTGTCGGGTGTGGTGGTGGTGAATGGAGCAAGGACTCAGGTGCAGAGATGATGGGCTTTTAAGGATAATAAAAACAAAACAGACAACCGATAGGCTGCGTTTACACTTGGCATTAACATGCGATCATCATTAGCCAATCAGGACATGGCGCGTTTACATTTGTTCACATTAAGTAGCCTCTGTATCTGGATAACCGAACGGATTTCTGTTTCCTGCATAATATTTAAATTAGGTCTGTGGCACGACACCAGATTAAGAGTAAAGATGATACCAATTAAACAGTTGTAGCGTCTGGACCAATCAGACACACACAAATTATTCATTATATTTAATGAATAATCCAACAAACTTACTCTTCCAACAAAGTTCTATGAAACTTCCCCCACAAATGAAGCCAACACTGGCAGAACCCATTGTCCTGTTACCGGACACATTAAGGCCCCATCCACACTACTGCGTTTTAGTTTAGAAACGGATAATTAAAACGAATACGATCTCCGTCCACACCAGCGTTTTAGCTCCGTGTTAGAATTGATCTCCGTCCACATTAAAACGACTGAAAACGCGGATCACGTGACCATTCACCAACACTGGGCATGCGCGTGCCGGTGTAAACACAACTTCATTGATAAAATTATCCCACCATGCTCTGGGTTAACCCCAAACCGACGCTCCATGTACGGTCAACGCCGCCGCTGCACACGAGAATTGTTTCAGATCGCTCGAATAATAGCTTGACTCCGGCGCATGTAGGCAGTTATAGCGTTGTAAAATGCAGAATTTACTTGTACAACAGCTGCTAGCAAAGATATACGCCATGACTGATGACACCCAATCATAGAGCCGAGCGTGAGCCTCTACTACGTCATCGTTTCTCAAGTCCTCCGTTTTGACCCGTCTACACTAAAACGCCCTCCGGAGTATCAAAACGAAAAACGGATCGGCAACGTTTCTAAACTTCTCCGTTTTTGTTGTTTTAGTGTGGACGGGAGGTGCAAACGTAGCAAAAGGTCTCCGTTTTTAAACGAAAACGCAGTAGTGTGGACGGGGCCTAAGACTGATATGAGTTTTACGACCCAAAAGAATGTGCAGGGAATTGTGACTTAATTCTTGCTGAGAAGGAGAAATGAACCCTTTTAATCCTATATATTCTATATATATAACCATGTGATAAATGTATTAACATGTATCTAATTTTCCATCTCATAATTTTCCTTTTATGTGGTTTGGCCTATGTTTCGTTCTCTCTTCTAAACTATTTTGGTTTGAGACATGACTTGCATACTATGGTTAACCAAAATCACATGTGTAGCATGTTTAGTCTCTAACAAATGGGGGACGAAGATTGGATTTTATAATTTACAGCTAACTTTATGACGCATTAGTATTATAGGAATCTTAAAGATTCTTTTCGTAAACACCCAATGAAATTAAACATTCAAATGCCCTGCTAGAAAACAAAGGGTCGTAAAAAACTCCCTCCAAAGGGATGGCTTCGTATTGGCTCACGCACCTCCAGAGGGTGTGACATCTTCACACTTTAAAAATCACTTATCAAGATCAGCTCTCTCTTGTCCTCTTGGTTTTTTGGCCTCTTGCTCTCTGACTCTCTTGGTCCTTCTTGAGAAGTCCTAACGTGAAGATGAGGCTGAACTAGAAGTCCCTCAAGGACTCCCAAGCTTGCGCCAGGCTGCGGGCTTGTCTTTCCATTCACCAAAGATCCTCTGACTCCCACTGGTTCTCTCTCATCTAGACCACATAAGCAAAGATCCACTGGAGCCTCAACAAATTGCACCAGGACAGTTTAATGCAAATGGGTGAGACATGCAAGTATCAAACTTAGTCTCATTATTTGATACATTAAAGGAGAACTCCAGCGCAAAATGAACCTTTGGTCTAATAAAACATTGGTACCTAGTCAACCGTTCTCTGAGATTTGTTTTCATGATAATCGAATGTAAAGAGTTTTATCTCTAAAAACTGTTTAGCGTATAACGCTAGTAATGGGGGCATTTAATAAGTAAAAAGAAATCGCTAGTTTATACCACTAACAAGGCTCAAAATAGCCCCACACGAACACAGTAACATAATGAGGGTCCCTACATGCAAAACGAAGCATTGAGAACTTTGTAAGTGTGCAGACCGTTTAATAAGAAGATAAAGATAAAGACAGTCCACTTCGTGTATACAGACAGGAGCCATCTTTGAAAAACATTCTCGACTAATCAAACCACGAACGACGTGCTAAGTGAGCTGAACTGTATGAAGTTCAGTGAACTTCTGAACCTTTATGAATGGCGTTCGTGGTTTGCTTAGTCGAGACTGTTTTCCAAAGATGGCTCCTGTCTGTATACACGAAGTGGACTGTCTTTATCTTTATCTTCTTATTAAACGGTCTGTACATTTACAAAGTTCTCAATGCTTCGTTTTGCATGTAGGGACCCTCATTATGTTACTGTGTTCGTGTGGGGCTATTTTGAGTCTTGTTAGTGGTATTAACTAGCGATTTCTTTTTACTTATTATATGCCCCCATTACTAGCGTTATACGCTAAACAGTTTTTAGAGATAAAACTCTTTACATTCGATTATCATGAAAAAAAATCTCAGAGAACGGTTGACTAGGTACCAATGTTTTATTAGACCAAAGGTTCATTTTGCGCCGGAGTTCTCCTTTAAGTATCCTTACCCCTTTTTAAGAAGGCCGTGTTGGAACTAAACTGATGGTTTGCTCAGGCTTTTGATCTGCTGAACATCAAACAATGCTATAACTTCTTGCTTTCCTGTATTCTGCTTCAGCTCTCTTTCCCTTGGGAAACTGTATGCATGTATGTATATGTATATTTTAGAGTAGTTTAAATGTTTAGTCTAGTTAATAAAGTATTTTTCATATCACACGTAAATTTGTCCGTGTCTCAAGCTCATACCTGTAGTCACTAATCATAGATCTTGACTACTTGCTCTTAGTAGTACTTAATAAATAGAAATACATTTCCGGGGCATGGGAAATGTCTTTCTTACTAATTATTAACCAATATTGAGTGTTCACGGTATGAACCGAGTAATTGGTTGTAATGTTAATGTAGCTACATCAAGTTAACCCGATTAACTGATCCAAATATTCATAATCAATTATAACCAGTTATGATTGATTATTAATATTTCATAGAGCTAGTTTGCTACACAATGTACCAATTGGTTACACTCACTCACTTTACTTTCCTGTGCAATCTCCAGTCTTAGATCAAATTACGTTTTTTAAACGAAGGAATACTTCCAGAGTTGATCAAACAGAAATAACTGGGTTGATCATGTTAAACAAGTCATATCGATCATCTGGGTTTAAGCCAAGGTTATAGCGTGCAATGACTATATTGACAGAAATGGGAGATTGATAAACATGCTGAAACAATAAAAACATTCAATGTTTAAAACATTAAAAAAAATCAGATTCTGATTATTCCTCTGGCAAAGCAGCGTGCAGCTCTTCATTAAGATCTCATGACTGACTATGATTGTACAGGCCATCGCCTCGTTCAGATAATGTTGCACAATTCAAATGAAAAATGACACATAGTATCATGTAAGTCTAAATAAACTGTTTTAAAGATTGACGTTTATTGTAAGGTTCAAATAAGTTTAATTTCTTGTCTAAATGCGTCTGGCGATTATTTTCTGACAGCCACGTGGGGAGACTGGGCGGGGATTTATATGACGTCCACCTGTGAATGCAGACCATGATGCATTGCAGACACGATGGCTGGATTGCGTTTACAATACACCAGAGAATGTCTAATGAGACGGGCTCTGATTACACTGATAACAGCATGAAGGATAACATTCCGATCAGAAGCGCGTTTACACTTGTCTTTTCAATGTGTATGTGGACAACATCCGGATACGGGTCGCATGCTAATGCCATGTGTAAACGCAGCCTACCCCGAGGGGGGAAACAAGACAGACTAGAACGACTTGACAGCAGGGAACGACGACGAACCAGCACAAAGTCATTTTAAGCCAAAATGGGGGTCAATCTTGAACAAATTGCAACAGGAGCAAACTCAACTGATTTTGTATCCTCAATATGTCCCTCAAAAAAGCCCCGAAGAATCCCATTAGTGGAAAGTTTAGAAAAAGATCCAAATATAGCCTATTCATACGCCGATTCATTCTTTTTCTCACGTGAAAAGGGTACAAATTTTAACCTTTAGATATCACCATGAAAATTTCTGAGTTGATTATTTACATCAAGACAAACAAAAAATGTATTACAAGTTTTTTGAAATTGTTTGTTAACATGGGCAAACGGTGCAAAATCTAATTACCTATGTGCTAATTTGCATAAATACCACAACAGATCTAAACATTGGGTATAGCCAGG